TTAAAAAAAAAAGTTTGAAAAAACAATTTATTAGATGTCATTCATCACCATACGGAAAACGTACACGAAGGCACCTTAGTCACAGTTTGCAGGTCTTAGCCAGGGGTTAGGGCCAAGGGTCATTCACTCGCGGCCATCGGTGACATGCACGACCAGAAGCGTCCACACGTTAAAAAGCAACGTGGAATACCGTCAAGATTCCGGTCTTATCAGACCATAAGTGTGCGCTCGCTCTTAGCACGCGCCGTGAATGGCGTCCGGTAAATTCCTGCTATTGCAAGAAAAAAATTGAACATTACAAAATGAAACAAAATAGAAAAAGGGAGAACAAAAAAATCGAAAAGGGACCGCCTGAGTTGTTGACATTCCTCGGGATCCGTCTTTACGGCCGTGCGATCGACAGGGCTGCTGACGCGATGGCCGACAAACAGCCCGGCGCTGATTAAAGCCTCGGACGAACGCGCGGTGCAAGGCTGCGCGCTCGGCGAGCCAGGGCCGATTTATGGCGTCGCCCGGATTCAACCCCGGACTCGTAAAGCAGCGCAGAACGGAGCCCGTGACTGTTTCTACGGCCGCTACATAAACAAGAAGTGGGGAGGGAGACATTGGCTTCTGCAAATACCACCTCGAACACGGGGGCTAGGCCTATCCCCAAACTTCATCGCAAGTGGATGCACGCACGCCTCCCCAGCTTGCGTCAGCGTCGCCGGCAACGCGTCCCGCAGCGTCTCACTACCCAGCGCGACACTAGCAGACGGCGACGCCAAGATGGACGCGTCTGCCGCTTTGCGGCGACGCGTCCGTTGTGTTTGTGGCGTCGCCGTCTGCCAGCGCGACGCTAGCAGACGGTGACGCCATGACGGACGCGTCGGCCACCTTGCGACGAAGCTTGAGCATGTTGACCGCTAGGGGCGGGTCGGAGATCGACCAACGATGACGTCACGCTCGGGCCTCGTCTCCTAGGTGGTATTGTTTGTGAGCTCCAAGCAAACAAGAAAAACATTGTTAAGGTGCGGTTCGGACTTCGTGTCCCTCCCGTCCCCCCCCCCCCCCCCCCCCCCCCCCCCCCCGGAAACGAATAACATATATCCGTTCTAAATCACCGGGTGTCTTCACAGAAAAACAAAACAAAAAAGAGCGGCATTTCGGGTTACTTAATGTTATTTGTTAAACACGTTTGTTTAGATAAAAAAAAAAAAAATGTGCGCGTAACATTGTCAAGAACACAAGAGAGGGGAGGGGAGAGGAAGGGGAAGGGGGGAAACAGGTATAGTTATTAACTGCTTAAAATGGTCAAGGCGTGGCGATGTCCGCGTAATTTTACCATCAAAGCATAGCGAAGGAGCTTGCGGCATCAGCCGACAGCAATACCGAAGAACGATGCGCAAAGCAAGAAACGAGAGCAAGAGACGCTTGTCTGTCACCTTTCTTCAGTTTCTTCTAATTTATCTTCAAGTTCCCTTCTCAGTTTTTTTTTTTTTTTTTTTTTCACGAAATGAGAACATTGCGATTTGTAAGCGACGTCCCGGGTTCCTTAAAGTGACCATGGCAGACCGGACATGGAACCCGATCCGAATAGCGAACGGGTAACGTCATGTACTTGGAGCTACATTTACGTTTCACCCAAGTCAGAGCGCGGTCAAAAGAGCCAACCGAGCGGTGAGAAAGGCGTGTGACGTCACGGATGCATCAACAAATGCCGCAATGTCCGCAGCCACATGCCCGCGAGGCGCGTTTGTTCCCTGCACGACGGTCACATGTTGGTCGCACACAAACTTTCCGCAAAGCTGTTTCGAAGCATACATATGCGGGAAGATGCCGTGCTTCGAACATTCCCCGAGGCATACCCCAGATGTTTCGTCATCATGTCGGCAGAGAACGCCGTGTATTTTGTATGACAGTGTGACTGAGTGGCAGTCAATGTATACCCACAGGGATATTTATTATCCAGTTTTTAGAAGGACGTTGTCATATCACGCGACTGACTAAACAAAACGCGGCTGTTTGTTTCTTCTTTTGGGCAAAAATTGCTCGATTGCCGCTATCATTTGACTTCGCCTCTACCCAAAACCGAAGCGACGGCAATAGACACCACTCGGCGTCGGGTCCGTTCTTCGAAGAAACCAATCCTGCAAAACTCGAAGGGGAAAAAAAAAAAAAAAAAAAAGAAAGAATCTCGGGCATCCAGATTCCGGGGAGGAGATGGTTCGCCCGTTCGGCGGGTTTGAACTGCAGGTCCGAGACGCACAGAGGAATGAGGAGGGGGGAGGGGGAGCGTGACTCGCGGGTGACACGTTCTGCTGCGTCAGCGTGCGTGTCCGGCGACAGGTCCCCCGAGGACGCGTTGCCATGACCACGTGAGGGAGAGGGACGGGAGAGCAGCCCTGACGGACGGGACACCTCTTCTCCACGTGGGTTCACACGAGGAGAGTCCCGAAGCTGGAGGCGGAGAGTTTGAGGGAGGAGAGATCAATGTAAAGAAAGAGAGAGAGAGAGAGAGACGCTTGACGAGTTGTCGGATCTAAGGTTCTCCTAGTCGGATCGGGTTCAAAGAGCTGTCGAATTGCTTCCGGATTGAGCCCCCTCAGGCCCCCCTCCCACTTTTTTTTTCTTTTCTTCGAAAGTGTCTCGTCGTCTGTCGGTGAACTAAAAGCAGTGTTGGAGGAAACGTTGGAGGAAACACGCGGAACGTGTTTTATGAGTCGTTTTTTATGAGAAAATCGTCATGAACGAGCGTCGTGCGCGAGCGGCACGCTGGGAGCGCTAGACAATCCCAAAATGCCAAATTTAGCGGCGAAATTCGCGTTCTGACGACGTCTCGTGACGTAAACACCAATCCAGTTTTCCCGCTAAATTTAACGGGCTCAATCGACGTCACGTGACCTGATGCCACGTGACCAATAAAGTATTACAGCTTCTACGCCGAATTCGGTGGAGAAACTAGGGAGTTTTTGTAAATCAATTTCGCCGTCCCGCAAGGCCCTCCGAAACTCGACGATAGCGGGAACTCCACAGTCAAGGCTACCGGCGCGCAGGCGCAGTGGCAACTTCTTCATTGCGGAACGCTTAGCGGAGGAAGCAACGCTGTTTACGAAAACTCCCTACTGACGTCCCATGACCTAAACACCAATCCAGTTTTTCGGCTAAATCTAGCGGGGAAAAGCGACGTCACGCGGAAAATAAAATTATTCGGTTTCTTCACTATATTTAACCTGGGAAAAGAACTAAATTGCTTCCGGTTTGTGCGCGGCACATTGGGTGGTCCCCGGTCTATGTCAACATGATCAAGCCTGTGTCATTAGAAGTGACGCAGTAATGTACGCGTTAGGTGTCTTCTTAATGACTAACCGGTAATTATTTTCGTTGCATTTTTCTGTGTACCGTCCATTAAATTACGTTACTTGTTACTTTAGAATAATGTTTTGTTCGTTTTAGCGGAAAAAACAAACAAATTGTGTACTGTGTAACGTGAGGAATTGCACGCTAGAGCTAAATTTAGCACTTGCATTAGCGCGTGCTTGGCAAGAGTGTTTTGGGATAGCGCTTCTCCGTCGCGACGGCAAAATACTAAGCATCTGGCGCTCCCAACGCCACCAAGGTAAAGTAACAACTTATATTTCACACACGAGATTCTGTTACTCAAGAAAAAAATAGTTTTTTTTTCCGTTGTTCAGAGTAACATTTTAGATTAGCTTACTTGTGAGAATGCGAGGTAAGCGGTCGACCGACCGGTTCCGCTTGCATCGCCTCGGCAAGAGAGGTCTCGTGTACTGATCCTTCGCGACACCGCACCTTTGCCGAGAAATGCTCGCGCGTCGCAAGCAGCAAGTGTCCGGCGATCGTTGCTTACCTCGCTGGGTCTTCCAAACTGTTCGTGACGCGCACCACCCTAGGAGTGCCTTGTCGTCCTGCGTTGGAAAGCGCAGTCGCGAGGATCCCGCCGACGTCGTGCTCACAACGCCGCCAAAGCGGCCGCAGTCGCGGTCCTGAGAGCCGCCATTTTTTAACTGTGCTATTCTTGACTTTAGCCGACTTCACATCACGAATCCTTCTTGGAGCGGCGCACAGACTCTTTATGTACGCACGTAATTTCCAAAAAAAAAATAGCGTACGCTAAGATAGCGTGCGCAAAGGCGCAAACCGCAGTTCGCGTTCGACGGATGCGCAGTCATGAAGACGCTATTCTTTGCATACGCACTTTTTTTTTTTTTGCGTACGCTGCTTTAAAACGCCCTATTAAATTGAATTCTGTAAACTTGGCCGAAAAGGGGAAATATTACGTTTTCCGCGGCATCATTCTTCCAACCCGGTCAGAAAAAAACAAAAAAAAAACATTGTACAAATTTGATTTTGAAATAAAATAAACGCCGCGAAATCACTTCGTAAAAGTTTAATCGTTGTCCATGCAAGTTCGTATCTACGGCTTAGCGCTGCCAGATGATACTGAAATCGGAAGTAACGCAAACGTTACGGTCATTAGATTTTGAAAGCAACGGTAAAGGTATTTCGTTGCACTTGTCGGACAGTAACGAATCCCAGTAACGCGTTCATTTTCGACGAACTAACGAGCTAAAACTGCGTCGTAACTTATAGTCGGTAACGGGCACGGTGAGTCCTCGGCCGCACGTTTTGACTTCAGTCGTCGACAGAGCCACTCGGCACACTTCCGCGTTTCGCAAACGCCAAAAACGACGCCCATAACTAATCGTCTTCGTACAACCAAATGGGGAAGGTGGCAGACGATGGAAATCAATATGGCGGAACGCGGCTTAGTGTAAGAGAAAAGGGGGTTCGTCAAACCGCTCTATGAGGGCAGAAAGCAAGGGAGAAGGAGAGACGAGACATCCGGCAGAATTAGACCGGGCAACTCGAACGTGCTCAAGGACACGCTCTGCCGTTCTCTGTAAACATACTGCCATGATCATACTAGGGAAGATCTAAGATAGCTAGGCATGTTTTTTTGTTTTGTTTTCTCTGAAAAGCGCAATTGTCTTTTGCAGGAGTTCTTGCCAACTGGGACGACTGGTGGACCTACGAGGGAATATCTGGTGAGTACACGGCGGCATAACTAGCTCGGGACGTGGGCAGTTCCGAGCATCTACATGGTGATTCAAGGAGGCCCCAGGCTCTTGAAATCGACCGCAAAATTCGGGTTCTTAACCTATCGCGCTACGACTTTGTGCAGCGTTGCCCACAGATGGTGCATTTTTTCTTTTTGTAAAATTTGCAAAAGAGCGAGCTTACCCGAGGAAAAAGTAAAGAAAGAAAAAGGCTTAGCTCCTATGGAAACGCAGCGACGCCACCGGTCTTCAAACAACACGGCGCCGTTTCGCACGGGAGACAAGAGATGGCGCAACGAACGCCGCCAACGAACGAGCATACGGCGTCGAGAGCCGGCGTATTTAGATCTTTTCGACTCAAAAGCGGCGCGCGTTCCGCAGGCGTCGACAGTCGCAGAAACAAAAACTGGCTCGGTAACAACAAGGAACTGCAGTTGCTTGTCTGCTAAAGACGCCGGCTCTCGGCGTCGTATGCTGGTTCGTTGGCGGCAGTTGGCGTCGCGACCGCTTGCGCCATCTCTTGTCTCCCGTGCGAAACGGCGCCGTGTTGTTTGAAGACCGGTGGCTTCGCTGCATTTTCATAGGAGCTAAGCCTCTTTCTTTCTTTACTTTTTCCTCAGGTAAGTTCGCTCTTTGCAAATTTTACAAAAAGGAAATGCACCATCCGTGGGCAACGCTGCACAAAGTCGTAGCGCGATAAGTTAAGAAACTGAATTTTGCGGTCGATTTAAAGAGCCTGGCGTCTCCTTGAATCACCCTGCATATATGATATCGCTGGTGACAGGGACGAGCAGGTTTGTTGGTTCGACAGTCAAGAGACGTTGACGATTATACCTTGACGGTCGGTACGAAAGGAGGCCCGGTAATATTCGTAACTATAATAACTCTATTGCCTCTGGCGGGATTAGAACTGAAAGAAGATCCCTCGGTCTCCAGCACGAGCATTCTTGCTTCGTTAAAGGCCGATTGACACGTTCGCGTCCGAGCGCGACCTCCTGCGTTACGACGGGTTGTGACTGAGCTTACAACCGGAGAACACTAGAGGGCCTAGATTGCAGAGCGGGTCCATCGCAAACCATCGGGAGCGTTTGCAAAGTAATGGCGGACGCTTTCTGCGGAGATTTGTCGCAAGTGCGCGTGCGCTGCGCTTTCGCGCGGCGAGAAGGAACACAGGCGGAAAGGCTAGGTGGCGCAAACTACAACTATAACTATAACCCGCCACCGCCCGTTACAAAGGGTATGCGGAACGCAAGTTCGTCTGCTTCTTTTGCATGGGCTGTGGTGACGTCGAACGCCGAGCTCTGATTGGTTCTGACTGAAGGGTAGTGGGTAGACCTCGAAGCAAGCTGCCTTAAGGCCTACCCACTATTCTTCAATCAGAGATCGGCGTTCTAACTTCACCACAACCCCTGCAAGAAGAAGCAGACGAACTTGCGCTTTGCATCTGTCTCCACGAGAGAAGCAGGCAGAGCCAGGGTCTGCACCGGACGCAGAAAGAGGGCTTGACATGCTCTCTTGGTTAACCAGGAGCCGAAAAAAATCCCCTAGCGGTAGCAGCGAGAAACATTTTTAATCGTAGATATGTAGTTTTAAGAAGCACGTAAGGGCTAACCGCTAACCGCCGAATTCAGAAACCTCACTCAAACTACACTCAAACTGAAGGGCCCCTCCACTTCCTCGAGGAAGTGGAGGGGCCCTCTAGTTTGAGTGTAGTTTGAGTGAGGTTTCTGAATTCGGCGGTAAATGTAGTAACACTTCATGGTTGAAAATAGGGTGCACGTGATGTTTCGATTATGATCACGCGATCACGCAGAAAGATGTGAGAAACGAATGTGCCACTCGAACTCTGTTTTGCTCGAACAGAGTGTGACCGCTCGGATTGCAGATTCCCGGCCCTCGGCGCCTGGAGTACGGATTACGTCGATCGCTCCGCTAGTCGCACTCTTCCACCATGATTTGGTCGGATTGCAGATTCCCGGCCCTCGGCGCCTGGAGTACGGATTACGTCGATCGCTCCGCTAGTCGCACTCTTCCACCATGATTTGGATGACTGCGATTGAAACACCACGTGGACCATATTTTCAGTCACCGCGAGTTACTCCGACGCACTTATTAATTTTGTTTCTCGCCACCACCACCAGGGTATTATTTCCGGCTTCTGGTTGGCCACATTAGCCCAATTCGAATTTGTGAAGACACCCTTTAACACGCCCAGCACGCTTTCGGCTAATGGCGTTTCCTCATTTCGATGGATAAACGGATGGGTGAACATTGCTCCATCCATCCAGGCGGAACCACTCGCAGACGACCAACGCGTTCGCTACCTCCTTGCGGCCCGTATCGCAAACGCAGCCCTAAACCACGTAACCCCGAGAGAGCGGTTGGAAATTCTGCAATGTAGGCTCTCTAAGGAGCACACTGACGGACTGGCACCATCCATCAGGCAGCACCTGATAGAGGACGGATTAAGTAGTTGGATGAAGTTTGCTTTCATCGACGGAAATGAGAGTAACGTAGGACTAGCAATGTTGACCGTGTCGGTTTAAGAACGCAACGACTCCAGTTCTTCCACCGTGTTTTTCACGGACACCATCGAACTTGTCGTTCGGGACTGATGATAGTAGATTACCTCAGTTGTGGAACTCCCGCGGAAGGGCGTACCCCCCCCCCCCCCCCCCCCCCTCACTCACTTCAGTCCGCCTCCCATCGTTCGAAGCGCCATCTATATTTTTGTTTACGAACTGCGTTTTCCATAGAGTACGGTGAAACGCCATCTAGACGCTGTGCTTGGAAACCTACGTATCCCATAGAATACACTGGAGTTACCATGGCAGCCTTGTGGCGCGTCGGATGACGGGAGGTGAGTCGTGGTGAGTGAAGGGGGCCACTGCTCGTGCATCCAGGCGTCTATGAGCAGTTCCGTAACCGAGCTAATCTAATAACGTTGGCTAGGACTACAACTCGTGACGTCACAGGGAGGCAAAAAACCCGGTCGTCACGTCACGGAAGGGAGTCATAAGAGGGCGGCATCGAAACACCTCGGGGCTCGGACTGACGACGCGTGGGAACACCCTTCAGGAGTCGATCATTTAAAACACGCAAACACTCAGAGAACCGAGAAAGCCAAAGTTTCCACCGCAGCGGCGGTTAGGTCGTGCGAGCTGTTCGGAGCGACGCGAGCCAAAGGAAAAACCTTCGAGGAGTATAGATCAGCCTCAAAGTCCCTCCTTATCGGAGAACGGGTCGTTGCCGCGTCGAGGGTTTTAACCCCACCGTTTTGTTACGAGATAAAAAGGGGATGCTCGTTACACACACACGCACAGACACGCTCAAACGCAACCATGTATCGAGCGCGTCATGCGTCCCAAAAATATGTTCCGACGATCCGCCGAACGACGCAGGTGCCCCCCTCCCCCCCCCAAACCCAGTGTTCGCAGACAAGGGCCCGTGTCGCTCGCATGAAAAATGCACGTCCCCGAAAAGAGAACAAGGGGGGGGGGGGGGGGGGGGGTCGACACCGTTGTGCCCCCCTCCTCCTTTTCATCCGGGGTCCTCCTAGCCCCAGACCATAATCCGATAATGGGGGCGGACCTAGGGTTCGGACCCCGGGGTCCCGGAATGAAAAAATGGGCGGCTCCAAATTGCAGGGCCAGCGGGACGCACCGTTGATTAAGCGGACGGAGGGTACGGTACGGTCGCCGCCGGCGCACGCCAAGGTTTGGCCCTCCTCTCCCTTTATATTTTGTGCCTCTCTCCCGCGCTGCGTCCTGCCCAAATCTTCTTCGTTCACTCCCCGAGGGATGAGAGGGTGGGAGAGAGAACACAGGGTCGGTGATAAAGTCATTCGCGTCTCCACCGACGATGGGGACTGAGAGGTTGAACGATCATCCCCGTGCCAGGCCGCAAGCAGTCGGGGTTTGCCGAGATATGGGGAACCGAAGCATTTTTACGTGAGGGAGATACCTTGGAGTGGTACTGTTATCGCGTAATCGAAATTTTTTTTTTTCTTTGCAGCATAAGTTGTATATTATCAACACGCTGTTTACAAACAAGCGCCAGCACCACCGCAGTGGCTTGCAGTCAAAGAGTTGAGTCGCTCTATAACATGAACTCCTTTCTGTAAACTATATGGTATAACATAAATACTAGGGATGTGCAGTTCGTCCATCAGCCTACCGATCTAGCGAGTAATTTATTTACCACCATCTAACATTTTAACCGATTGAATGTGAGAGAGTGGAACATGAGTGACTATCAGTATACTTCCAAAAAGCATTTCAAACGAGCTGAACTGTATTTGCTGCTCAGTCTTTTGTCGGGACATATTCCTTTCAAATTTGCATTGTGCATTGTTTTTAATGCTCTGACTGCCTACGGTAAAAAAAGGGGGGGAGTGGGCTGGGGAATCGGTAAGACACCACGCTGCTCTTTAAATGCGATTGCGGCTTATGTTTACGATTGGGCGATTGTCGCCGACACTAAACTGGCGGTCTGCAACTAACTCTGACACAGATAGCACGAGCACTCGACTCGAAGACTTTTTTGCGATATCTCTCCCAGCTGGATGTTTTTTTTTTATATTGAAACTATTAGCGTAATGGAGTGCTAAGTGGGGCAACCACTCACCCAGAAACCTTCAGTGTAGTACTTTAGCATGCACGATGAAATAAGAAAAAGAATACGGAGGTCAAGGGCGTGATAGCTGTATCGCCCACTGTACACCTCGCTGTTCCAATGAGACGAACGTAAGCCCCTGATTACGTAATACAACTTTTTTTTTTCATCATGGCGTCGAGCTAGTTTGGGTAAAAAAAGGCTGCAGATAATAATTTAGGCGCTGAAATTGTGAAGAATTGAACAGCTCGGTGTCGAATTTTACGTTCCAACGGCACTTCACTCATTCAGCACTAGTCGCAGCCGAACACTGACGCAGATCCCTTTGGTGTCCCTTCAGTGTCGTTCGATGGTTTCACGTGGGCGATAAAGAA